ATTTTATGAATAATATTTATTGTGTGTGCAATTTTTGAGACAATTGTGAAATTGAATGTGTTCTATTCATTAGAATTTAGACTAAAAATATATTCAAATCGTGATTATAATAGTTTTAATTTGTCTTGGGAAAGAAATTAATTACAATAGAATTATCGATTGTCATAAATGCAAGTACGAAACTAGTTACATAATTATAAATTAAAAAAGTTAATAATATGTAGATTCGTAATCCAATACATTCATTCTATACACATACTAAATTCGCATTTTACAAGTTTTCATAGACTAAGTTAGAATAATTAAAAACTATAAAACACATTTGTTTTTTACTTTGAATCTAATTAAATATTAATATGCTCTATTAAATTTTATTTCTCATGTGACGATACATGTTACTCATCATGTATTATTTGTCAACGATCATGTACACTTGCAAGATTTGCACGAACAATATATCATCTAATCTCTCGGTACAATGAGACATACGCTCGGATATAATTCTATTGTAACTTGTTCTCCATTCAACTTAGGGATGACAATTTACCCCGTCCTGTTCCGACCCGAATGAGGCAAAAAAAACTCACCTCAACAGGTTGTCAGGGGGCGTAAATTGTCCCCCCATCTCAAGTCTCGCCCCGCGCCGCCCCATGCACCTGAATTATGAAATAATTTAACAAGATTGTGCGATTTGAAATGTTATTCTTAAATTGTGGCAATTGTGTTGTTTTCCCTTTTCCTAATTGTATAGGAAGTGTATTTTTTTTTCAATTATATCAAGAATTATTTTCTTCTTATATAAAATCAATTTTAACTAAAACTAATTATTAAATTAAGACTTTAATTAGACTACTATAACTCCTAATTTAATTCAACCAATTTAAGTCAAGCTCAATAGTGACAGAAACTAGCCATCGATCAATATCCATAGCTGTAGCTTGCATTTTTTGTGATGGCAAATAGAAACCAAAAATTAAACGTCAAAAAAATTTAAATGAATAAAATAAAGCAACATATACTACAATAAATAGTTCTACTGATGAATGAAGTTATGAAGATTAAAAAATAACAATTTTTGGATCAAGAAATGAAATTTAATTATAATGTCGCAATGATAATGTAATTTTAATTGCAATTGTTTCTTTTTGGACAGTGTTTGTTTCGACTTTCGAGTGTTATTTTGGATATTAATTTTGTTAGTTTGAGTATTATTTGTATTTTACTGAATTTGAAATTTTGAAAGGGAAAATAAAAAAGGGGGGGAGGGGAGGCAAGCGCCCCGATCCCCCCAGTCTAAAGCGGGGCAGGGCGGGGTGGCCCCCATTGCCATCCCTAATTCAACTGCTAACTTCCATCTATGAATTCACCTTGTCTGACTTATTCCTTCGGGGGTACTTTTCAAAAGCACCAAGTCAAAGAACAACTTTGTCAGATTAACCAATAAATTTTTGTCGTTCACCAAAAAAGCCTTTTGAAGAGTAAATATCATTTTTGCTCTTATTATGTTTTGTAATTACAAAAGCATATCATTTGTTCAAAAGAAAATAATATTCTCGTTTAAAAAATAAATAAACCCAAATGCTTCCCACTTAAATTTTAAAATCAAATCACTTTCCTTATCAGATTCTCCAACTCATTTAAAAAGAAAATTTCTCTTCCATCTACTTGAACATTGAAATTTCACTAAATTATCAAATGATCAACGAGAAAATATTATTCATAGCCATCACTTGAAATTGGTAAGTAAAAATATGTATTTTTAATTTCGTTTTAGTTAAATTAGTATATTATTTTAATTTTTAAATCTTATTTCAAAATAGATAGATAATTTTTGCATTTCCTAAATAGATCTATAATTTTTTAGAAAAAACGAGAAAAAATTCACCTGCATGTATATTCTTTCGATCAGATTCATGACTATCTGGAAAACGGTCGACCTAGCCATCTGGACACAAAGAAGAGTCGGCCTCGTCATCTGGGCAGGCTCTTAATAGCCGGCTCTACCTAGTCGGCCCAAATATTTTTTTGTTATTATTATCCATTTTTTTAAATCCTGTCTCATAATGCAAATACTGGATTATCAATAGTCCCAATTGGTTACTTTGGTGAATTTGAAGGGAATGAAATAAATGATGTGCATAAAAATCAAAAAGTGAAAGATATGGTGTTATTGAAATTGTGATAACATCGAGTACATTATATGGAGAAATGTACCATGATTTACAGAACAAGATCGACCTCGATCATTTTCAGTACGATATAGAATTAGGATTTCTATTCAACAAGTATATATCCATTTCAATTCTACCTATAAGGTTACTTCTGAAGTTGAAATGAAGGTTCTAATTGAATTGAACAAAAATCGCACGACTCTAATTTGCGTAACTTTAGTGAGGAAGAATATCCTCGAGAGTGAGCACAAAAATTCCAATTGAGGGGATCGTAATGTGAATGATTTTTGGGAAACTGTGGAAATAGCTCTCGAAGATGATGTGGTTATTCTCGAGATAGTTGTTTCTCACTACAATCTCACAGTTACGTGTAGAATTACTTAGATAGTTTAAGACAAGGAAGATTTCTTTATTCCATCGGCGACGTAAGTGGGGTGGGAACTCACAGACTGGATAGAGTGCACGATATCTATATGTTTGCATATGATTCCCAATGAAGAATTACATATTGAGTAGCTATTTTAAATAAAGAGAGATTTGCAAGAAGTTGTGCACCGTATTACATTGAAACATAACGTTGAATTTAAAGTAAAGAAATTAAACAAATCAACCTA